GTACATCCACCCTGTCTGTATTACCCATTCAACCACCTAACGTATATGTACATCCATCCTGTCTGTATTACCCAATCAACCAACTGACGTATATGTACATCCACCCTGTCTGTATTACCCAATCAACCAACTGACGTATATGTACATCCACCCTGTCTGTATTACCCATTCAACCAACTAACGTATAAATACATCCACCCTGTCTGTATTACCCATTCAACCACCTAACGTATATCCATCCTGTGAGTACAGTGTAATGCAGATTTTCCCCCTATTCTAAATGCTCTCTGGTTTCTGATCTTTTTCCATGCCAACACTTTTAGAATAATTTTTTGTTATTAGTATATATATATAAGGTGATATTTTACAAACGCATGCTATCTTAACCTGAGTTGGATTAATAGTAGTTTTATAAGATGCTGAATTTATAAGCGTTTAAGGTTAAATATAGGGTACAATCTGAGTAAGGTTAAAGATCATTTTATAGGATGGTATTTTACAAATGTTTAAGTTAACTCTCAACAAACAGTGCTTTTTAGATATTTCTGATAACGCGATTAAAGACCTCAGCAGAACTAAATAAACAAAAAGCTTTGAAGATTAAGTCTTTTTGGGGTGGGGGGGGGAAAGGGTTAAATAATTCGGTCGTATAAATTGAAATGAAAATGTCTTTGGCTAGATGTACCAAACATGCCCTCACCCTATGTCTTTTTAAGGTCCCTTTTATCGTATGAAACACAGTTCATTCACTAAGTGTCCATATTTAAGGAATGCTAATATCAGAATTATGAATTAAATGTGGAAGCTGTACTGTCTATAAATATTCATTGTAAAAGATTAAGAGAACTTGCTAATTCAACTATATATTTGTGCAAAGATCTTAGTGTTGACATACAACGTCACTACACATTTTAAAACATTTTAAAATTTCATTGATAAAAATATATTATTATTTTACTGTTTCTGCACTCATCTAAATACCACATTTGTTTCAGACATCTTTGGAATACATGGGTTACGAAATTCTTGGTTTCCTATTTATTTGTTTCATCATTATTTTGTCCTTCGCTACGGGTCTGACTCGACTTTACCAGGCCTACAATGGAATGAGTTATGTAGATAGTTCGGGGACGAAAGTAGTACAGATGTCCTCGTTTGTCAGGTTAGTTCTGAACACGTACACTTGCAAACAAAGAAAGAAACAGGTTAATTTAAATTATGTAGTGTTGTAAACAAACGAAAAATCTCACGTTATCAAGAAGTTCAGTTAGATCTTAATTTAAAGATAGTCCTAAATAGTCCAAGTTCTAAATAAATAAAAGTTCTGGATATGTATTGTTAGTATACCACGTGTACTGTCAGTCATGTATTATTGAATAACGAGTATTGTGTTGGTATACCAATACCACGTGTACTGACGTGTTTTATTGAATAACGAGTATTGTGTTGATATACCATACACGTGTACTGTCAGTCATGTATTATTGAATAACGAGTATTGTGTTGGTATACCAATACCACGTGTACTGACGTGTTTTATTGAATAACGAGTATTGTGTTGATATACCAATACCACGTGTACTGTCGTGTTTTATTGAATAACGAATAGTGTGTTGGTATACCAATACCACGTGTACTGACGTGTTTTATTGAATAACGAGTATTGTGTTGATATACCA